CGGGGTGGGGGTTGAGACCATTCACATTGACAATTGTTACTGAAAGGCTTTGATTTATTCTTATCATTGCATTATTATCCTGCTGCTGATTTCCTTTCCTTCCCTTCTACTCAACTGCTCACCCTTCCTACTGGATTCGTTCTATTGTCCCTTCTAGCATTGTTGCTTCATTTCTTTTTATTGGTACTGGGAATCGAACTCAGGACCTTGTGCTGGCCAGGCAGGTGCAGCACCACTGAGCTACATCCCCAGGCCTTCACTGTCTCTTTCTAGGACATCTTGGAGACTGTTTTGGAGTGCTGGTTTGTTGTCATGAATACCTTTAGGTGCTCTTTATCAGAGAAACATCTTATTTCTCCATTAATTTTGGAAGATAATTTTGTAGGATATATCCATCTGGATTGGAAGGTGTTTTCTTGTAAGGCTTGAAACACTTCACTCCAAGCTCTCCTGACTTTTAAGTCTTGTTTTGGAGAACTCTGCTGTAATTACAGTGAGTTTGCCTTTAGAAGTGATTTGCTACTTTTCTCTAACAACTTTTAAGATTCTGTTCTCATGTTGGACTTTGGGGATTTTGAGTAAGATGGGGAGGATCTTGTCTGATCCTGGCTATTTGGGATTCTATATGCCTTACTTATTTGTATGTTAAATTCTTCTCCCATAATTTTAAAGATTTCTGCTATTATTTCAGTAAATGTGGTTTTTTGCCGTCTTCTGATTTTTCCCGAATTCCAATATTTTAGACTTCCATGCATCATCTAGCAGCTACTGGATCCGTTTTTCACATTCTCTTACTGGTTTTAAGGTATCTCTCATTAATTGGTCACTGACATCTGCCCTGTCTTCTAGATCGACACTCTGTCCTCACCCTGGTCACATCTGCTGCCCACACTCTTAACAGAATTTTTAATCTCCTGAATTTCTGTTTGGTGCCTGTTTGTGAACTCTGCTTCTCTTCTGTGCTGGGCATTTGTGGTTTGTATCTTTTTGTTTAGCTCAACTACCTTTTTATTCGTGTCTTCTGTGGACCTACTGATTTTTCTGTTTGTTAGGTCCATTCTATTTAGCTCTATCTTCTTTATACTTGCAAGCCCCGTATTGGTCTGCTTCTAGCTCCTCTGCTGTCCTTTTGAATAATTCAGACATGGGCTCTTGGCTCCTCCCACTCCATGCCCCATGGATGGATCAGCCTCGGGCAGTTGGGAGTTTTCGGAGGTATTCTGTTGTCTTATCTTCTCATGTTTCTGTTTGTTTGTCATGCTGGAGCCTGCAGGCTGATTGCAGTGGAAGGCTTTGTTGCTAGAATGGAGACCTCTTTAGTAGTGTCTGCCTCTCAGTGACTCCCTCTAAACCTGGCTGATTTTGGCCTCTGCCTCTGCCCCAGGATCTGAATACCTTTTTTTATTTGGATGAGGAAGCTGCAGTTTATTTTGCCCAGTACCCAGTTCTCCAGGAATGGGCCACTGTACTGTTAGCAACACAGTGGCAGTCCAGGTATTGGCATACCAAGTAAAACAATCAACAGCAACAACTATGTCAGCTTGGTAATAGTAACAAAATCAGCAATAGTAATAGTGTAAAAGACAAACTAGATACTGACATATCCTAAGAACCAAACATGTACCACCCCTGACCATAGAGAAGAGATCTATAATCTTAGTATAAACACTAGGACAAATCAAATATTGACCTACAATAAATATCTGCTAAATTGAACACTTTATGTTCACTAACAATAGAACACTATTTGATGTTAATAGCATAGAGTTAACTATCGAAAGATTTATAAATCTTAGTGATTGTACTAGTACAGATAGAGGGGATGGGGAAGAGGAGAATGGGAAAAGTAAAATTTGAAATATCAATCAATAGAAGATGAGAGAGCGATCAGGGACCCTACTGTGGAGTAAAAGGAAAATAGCATTCAACACCAATAACAGAAGAAAATGAACACGAAAAATGCAAAAAAAAAAAAAAAAAGAAAGAAAAAAAGAGCAAAGTAAAGGAAAAAGAAAAATAGTTAAATGGAGAAAAGAAAAAAGACAGAGAAAAACTAAGCCCCAAGCACCTCCACCCCCACCCCGCAAAGCTGATGAAGGAAAAAGCGAGGCAGAAAATGAAAAGAAAAGAATTGAATCCATGAAAAAAAAAATCCTCAGGGTTTTGGAATGAGTGGTTTCCTTCCAGATCTGCAGCCCTGGGGTGCAGCAGGTCACAGTCTTCTGTGGGCTTCTCCTGGGCCTCGCCCTGCAGGTCAGGTCTATTCTTTCTCCCTGCAGCTGTTGACTCTCCGGGAGCCTTGTGGTCGGGTGATCTGATCCGTGCCTCTGCTGGCCCGTGGGAAGAGAAAAATACACGCGTGATGGGCTTAGCGTTTGTGGGTGGCCCAGTCCGGGGCAGACTCTGTGGGCACAGAATCAGCCAGGGAGAGCACCATGTGGAGGGTGAGCGCCTTCTCTCTCCTGTTTGTTTGCTTGTCTGAGGTTTCTGTAAGTTTTCTTTTTTGTTATTTTGGGAAATTGGGGGTTCATTGGTTAGTTGGTTGTAGTTTTTGGTTGCTGCTCTTTGTTTTTTCATTTTGGTTGTAAAAAAATTTAGCATGAGTCCCTTCTTCCTAACATAGTCTAAAATGTGCAGTTTCCTATTCTCAGCTGCAGGCCCCGAGTCGTACATCACACCTCTAGGACTTACTCGTCTTGCCTACCTGTAACTTCATACCCACTGAATAATTTCCCATTTCCTCTTTATCTTAGCCTTGGCAACCACCATTCTCTTCTCTGCTTCTGTGAGTTCGGCTGGTTTAGACCATTCACATGTGGGAGAATCAGCATTTGTTTTTCTGTGACTCCCTCATTTCAGCCGGTGTGATTCCTCTAGGTTCACCTATGTATCACAAATGCGGAGCTCCTATCACAAGGCTGAGCAACACTCCTTTACATGTGCATACGACATCTCCTTACCCAGAAGTGCAACTGCTGGATCTTAGGGTGGTTTTACTCTTTAAGTCAGAAGCAGATGTTTTTGCATGATTTCTCATCAGCCATGTATTTTCAATTAAAGCAGGACTTCCAGAATTAAAATAACAGAACAAAACCTACCAGTTTGTTTATCTGAAGAGCCCAACACTGCATAGCAAGATGAAAGGAAATACACCCGTTTACAGCCATTTTCCTACCTGTGGCTTATCTTCCCTTCCATACATACATTGAACACATGTTCTAACTTCCCTTGAGCTCTTTCTATGGAGTAAAAGCGTTTGGAGTCCTGTATATAATTTGTGGCTCCATGGCTGAGTTTCCACCTTTTCATTTAGCCCTTTCTTCTTGAAGTCTTTAAATGCTTGCTAAGAATTTAATCAGAAGCAGGCATTAAATTGCTTCTTTAGTTCTGGAAACTTGTTCACTTAGTACTCCCTTTCCATTCATCATATATTCCTTCCCTTCTGAAAAAAGATTCTGAGAGAGAAAATAACTCCTTGGTTTACTGTTTTATTCACAGAGACCCAATATTGTCTTTCTCAATTAGGATACAATTTCATATAACTCGTTCAAGAATTCTAACTACTTACTTAATGTTTTCCATCTCCTATAATGCAATTGACACATGAAAAATATATTAATCATCTCCTTAATGGAGCTATGGTTATTTTCAGCCTGAGTTTTAATATTCAAAAAGAACACTACTAAAAGGATAAAACATTTCATATGAAAATTATAATATCTATTTTCAAACATCCTGTCTTCTAGAACAAACATAATGTCCTTGAAGTTTTAGATGTATTTTATTTTACTTTGTGGTCTTAAATTGAAGATCCTTGGCACTGTGCACTCCTCAGTTTGCACCTTTCCTAATCTGCTTCTTCTGGAGGAAAATCCTGTCACTGGAATTCCATGGAGGGACATGGTGTTTTGGGCTGGCTGAGTTTGGAATCATCCTGCTTGTCGGATACACCCAACTCCACCTCCCACAAGTATGTTCATCTTTCATGAAAATGGGGTCTTGGTGTTTAATATTCCAAATATCCAAGTTTGATATTTGGTATTGCAAAGAATAGGCAGAGAAGGAGCCTGCATGTGGAAAGAAAGGATCACCCAGAAGAATGAAGAAGTATGAGCGGAGGGACCTTTTTCTGCTCAGTGCCTTTGGTTTGACTGAGGCAAGGCACCTGCAGCTGCAGAAGTGAAGGTCAAATATGAGTGTCCCTTCTGAGGCTTTGGGCTGAGGTGTAGCAGACCACGGGGTAAACTGGGAAACCCTCCTGCCACCCTTGCATGAAATGCAGCAATGCTCTGCCTCCCTGAGGACAAATGCTGTAAGAGCACAGACTGGATGTCTGTGATACAAACACCAGAAACAACATCACAGGCAGTGGAATTGGCATAGCTTCACCAGCTACCTACGTGACAAGTGGAAGCCGGAACAGGTAGAACAGAAGAGATAGCGGGGTGCATTTCCAGTAAGGATAGCAACTCACAGACGTGCTCTTGTGGTGGCTGTTTGGAGATTTCATGTGCAGCGTCTCTGGGAATCACTAGCAGGATCCAAAGACTACTTGGAGCAGGACCAGCTTTAGTAATTGGGGCATCAAAATACCTTAACCTGATCAGTATAAATAAAAACAATGTAAACATTGAGTCCTAAATGATGACACAATTCTGACATGTACAGGGATGAAGGATACTGAAGCTAATGTCTACAACTCACTTTGAAGTGAATCAAAAAATGAGGTGGGTTCATGGATGAAGTGGTGGATAGATACATTAATGGATCATACATATATATGATGAGATAAATATAACAAATATTACAAAGATTACAGAATCTAAGTACTGAACACAGGCAGTTTATTGTCCAAATTTCTATAGGGTGGAAATCTTTCACAGAAAATTTTGCAAAAAATATAACCTTCTATAATCACAGAACAGCAAGGCATGTCGCATTGGAACTGGGCGAGATTCGATTCCTTAGCCTTCTGTTCTTTGTCCTGGGAGTCGCAGCTCTCACTCTGGTCTCTTCTCAGACTTTTTCTTTTCTTCCCTCTTCTCCCTGGAGTAAAAGTTCTGGTTCTTTTCGTGCCTTGTGCTGTGACATATTCATTTAACCATCAGGCACACTGTAAATCGTGAGGCTCCTCCAGGCTGGCACCACAGAGTGGGTGATTCTTGGGATTTTCCAAGGTTGAAGGTGATTAGGGCAGCCTGAGTCTATGGAGAATTTTCCTCACAGCCTCCTTCACCTCCTTGTTCCTCAGGCTGTAGATGAGGGGATTCAGCATGGGGGTCACCATGGTGTAGAACACAGACAACACACGATCCCTTTCTGAGGACCTGCTAGAGTTGCCTCCCAGGTACATGAAGATGAGGGTGCCGAAGAAGAGTGACACTGCCGTGAGGTG